TGGTGATTTCTCAAAGTTCACGTATGCAAGCCCTCTCAATGAAAACAACATTAACTAAGATTTTACGAGGTTACTGAAAACATGCTACATGTAGTAGCCAGTACAGTGATAATAAATGCTTGCCCTTGACCACAGATATCCAATGAACAGCAGCTGAGCGGATGATAGGCTGAAATTTGAGGTCGGATTTTGCCATTTGTCGCAATGCAAATGCGATCGGTGATTGTTTCTATGACAGAGAGGACATAGCAGGCAGCACAGCTACCTTCCTCACGAACCTCGCCGATCGATGGACACATTGGCCACTGTTGTCGAGAGTCAAAATACTCTGGGATACGTTCCGTTTGAACCATGTCGAAGTCCGATTTTCTCAAACGTCCTTGACGCTGGACGGTCCTACTCATTCTATTTCTGACCTCCATCCTTTTCTTTACTTCCGCCACAGTCACGAGATCAAGAAAGGAATTGTAGCCAGTCTAAAATATTAGCGTTATTAGGTGGCTAAGTTTATATAGTTTACACCTTCCACGTCGTATTCATGGAGTTGACGTCTGTGATTATGGCCGTACCAGCAGCGCGGTGATATGACTGTTCCATGCTGTGACTTGAGGGTTGCATAAACAGAAGACACAGGAGCAGTGACCATGGCATTTTTCTACACGATGCGTCGACCAACTCAAGAAAGTAGATGAATACTGCACAAAATAATCCTTCGCTTGTCGTCAGGACAACTTCAGTGGATCCAAGTAGTTGCTAATCAGCGAACTGCGATGATCTGCCCGTCAAACCGAGACTGCTGCTTTCTCGAAACTTTCCCTTATCATCAAGTCGACAAAGTTACTTTAAAATTGCGGTCTTATCAGTGACCTTATCTGTCTTAGAGCCCTCGGCCGCCGTTGTGAACCAGCGATCTCTAAACCCTTACTAGCGTAGGCCACTGTTAGTCCTATTTAGATATTTAAAACTAATCACCAACGAAAACGAGTGTGCCAGTTTCAAGAAATCCCTCCAATTACCTCATTGCATCGAAGACACACAGGTTGCCTTACAACATTCTGAATCCATCGAATAAATACTTATTTACTATTCAGCCCTGTCGATGTCATGTCAGTTTTAATGAGACCTATCCATCTTGTTGGATGTCTGCCTGTGGCCCAGCTGCCACTAATGTTCATGTTAATGACTCACTTCGCAACGCAACTACTGCCCATTCGTTGGTGATGATCCGACGATCCTAAACGCCATATTTGCAGTCATTTGGTCATTTTAGTGAAATATTTTTATTTCACTCTTATAACAGCATTTGATGCCAGATTATATCATTTCATTCATAATATTTATCCTAAAATGTTCATTTTTGTTGCTTTCGAGTCTGTTTTTAGCCTGTTGCAACCCTGAAGCTATAGGCAAAATGTTCAAAACAAAGCCCTACATGTGCCATGGTAAAACCTTTCTTTTTCACGACTTGAATGGTTTCCTGATTTCTGCAAATACAAATGCACAGCGTCTCTTACGTCGTTTGTCGCTCGTCTGTTCTAGTATCTATTCTACCACTTCTATGTCAAGGGTTAGATCAGTATTTGTTCGAATAATTTTCGCCTACGCTTCATGAGCTTCATTCTTTAAGTTAACAGAGAAACTCAGATCAGAGCACGTGTGCCTCAGAGTTAGGAACAGTGATGTCGAGGCCTTGAAGTTGTCGGCAAGGAATACGGCGTAATTCGCAAATGCAAAAGAATTTTTGAGAATGTTGTCCACTTTGCCGTAGTCGCACCCTCCCTATTTCGCACTGGCTGGACTATTCAGTTACGAGACAGCACAAACGGCAAAGATGATTTGGTTTGGATAAAACAATTTGCCATAACATCGTTCTTGAATCTAACTAATTTCGAATTTTTTTATTTATCATGCTACTAAATGTTTTTGAAGCTTTCGGTAATCAGGCATGCACGGAGAAGAACGTTTATGCCAGTAAATTAGGTAGTAAAAATCAAGTGCTCTGAGTGCATGTATGAGATCTTTTCCTTATTATCAAAGGTGTCAGCCGGTCCAACTGGTATGCATGCAGGATTGCCTTCTGCTCACATATGTTCAGCCCGTCTGTTGAGGGGTGCTATTCTTTCTTTGATTTAAATACCTCCATCGATGGAACGAAGTCGTGGAGTTGACGTCTAACACCCTTCGCTGACACTTGCGCTAATGATAACGTCACGATGCGTACTCAGA